AAATGTATACATTAGTTATTGATGAACAAGAGCATAAGATTTCTCATTTCCAAAGGTTAAGTCGAGCCCCTAACATTTATTTACACACCTTTTATTTTTTTGGTATACTCTATATAATTACATCAGGTTTACTTTACCATTTGTATTTCCTAAAATCAGAAGAGGGAAAAAGATTTTATTTCTAGTTTAAATCTATTATATAAATCCTTTTAAAATTTAAAACTACAGGTTAGGCAAAATTGTCACTAAGTAGGTAATTTAAACTAAATATTATAATGTGTGTTAGAGTAAAAATGCTCTTTTACCAAAACCATACTTACCCTAAAGAAATAAGGGAAAAGACATTCAGATATCCCTTGTTCTCAATATCAAGCAGTTTGAAAATATACTGCAAAGCTGCAGGCTCCTTTCTGTTTTCTAAGGCAAGAACAAAGTCCAAGTAGGTCTTATAGTCCTATAGATAAGCAAACATTCCTAAGAAGCCTTGGTGAGAACTTGAGAGAGTATCTTGTGAGTTGAGGTTATTTTTCAATCATAAGTGGCAAACTTGGCTAAAAAGTCCTAATAGACCTTTTCTATTATTTTTGGCTACAAAGCAAGTTCAATGTCACCCTGGTTTACATGAGACCCTATCTTTTATTTTTGTATGGTGTAGAAAATTAATCTATCCACAGAACTTTTGGGGGGCGGGGGAGGGAGGTTGAGTCTGTAGCCCATGGTGGCCTCAAGCTTGCCTCATTCTCCCAGAGAGATTACAAGTGTGTGTCACCTTTCTGAGCTCATTTTTTACTTTGTGCATTTTTTCTTTCAAGATAGGGTCTTGTATAACCCAGACTGATCTGGTCTTCCTGCTTCCATCTCCCAAATGTTGGGATTATAGTCCTGCACTACCACGCCTGCCTTTCATGTGTTTTTGTTTTGTTTTGTTTTTTAACTGAATTTTTGTGATATTCTTTCTTTTTTTTTTTTGGTCTCTTTTGTTTTGTTTTTTAACTGAATTTTTGTGATATTCTTTCTTTTTTTTTTTGGTCTTTGAGATAGAGTCTCCCTGGAACTCACTATGTAGACCAGGCTGGCCTTGAACTCAGAGATCCATCTGCCTCTGCCTCCCAAGTGCTGGGATTAAGGGTGTGCATCACCACGCCTGACCTTTTCTTTTTTTTAAAGTGCTGAGGTTCAAACCCAGAGCTTCATACATGCTAGCCCAGTGTCCTATCTCTAAGCTCAACTTTAACTTGTCTGTTTTTGAGACAGGTCTTCTTGAAGCCCCAGTGGGCTTAGAACACGCTAAGTGGCTACAGAGCTCCACTTGCCTCTGCTGGGACTAAAAGTGTGCACCACCACTCCTGGCTCAATTTTCATACAATATAATTTGATAGTATTTGATCCCCTTTCCTATCTGCACCTCTCCTTACTGCCCTTCACCCAATTTAATGCACTCTGTAAGGCCTATAGAGTCTAATTTGTGTGCTCAAATGTCCTTCAGTGTGAGTTCATCAGATTCCCAAGACTTCTGAGAAAAGGACAGTTAGTTAACCTCACTAATGATATGGACATATTAAATACAGTCTAATAGACTTAGCTAGGTATGGTAGCATCATCCCAGTACTTGGGAAGCTGAGGCAGGACTGCCTGCATAGTGAGTACCAGACCAGCCTGTATGAATGTATTGCCTGCATGTATGTAAATACACTAACTATGCAGCCATCTCTCCAGCTCCAGAGGCTTATCTTTAAGATAAACAAAATAAAAAATATTGAATCATATCAAGAAAAGGGCTTGTAGAAACTACAAGGGCCTAAAAATGTAAACTATCAGCAGATTTAATAACTACCATTTCTCCATCGTAAGTGAGACACTCTTGGAAAACATGGTCTAGGATGACATTGGTCATGGTTGCTGTTCCATAACGGGAGAGTTCTTCTTTACTGAGCATGCCATTGTGGTCTTTATCAAGATTCAAATACTGACCTTGGGAAGAAAGATAATAGGAAGATACTTAGGACCAAAATTTTTTTAACACCAAAGAATGGACATTAGCAAAATATTTATTTTATTGCTTAATATTTTGATTATGAAATGAAACTAATGGCATTACAGTGAAGGTAGTGGTATATGAATAATGCATACCATCAGTGATCCTTGAAATGTGGATTAGAACAACTATTAAGCTAAAAATAGTTTTAAAAACTCATGAAGTCTTTGGGCTATTTTACTTTAAATTTTTTTCTTTTACTTTTTATTTGTGTATGTGTGTATAGCATGCATCTATGCAAGTGCACCCACGTCATGCCAGTAGAGGACACTAGAGGCAGTCAGATTCCCAGGAACTGGAGTTACAGACAGTTGTTAATTGCCATGTACATGCTGGATTTGGCCCTGGGTCCTCTGCAAGAGCAGCTAGTGTTCTTAACCTCTGAACCATCTTTCTAGCCCTTTTCACCATTTCTTTTTTTTTGTAGTATTTTTTATGTGTATGAGTGTATTGCCTCCATGTATGTAAGTGCACCTGTGTTGCGTAAAGGAAGCAACTGATTGCTGCTAGATGAGGAACAGCTGATCTTCCTAAAACAAGGATCTCTAGATAAGTTGACTAGATTCAGCAGATGGACAAACACTGGGGAATGGCTGAGGGCGCCAACAACACAGTGGACAGTAACAGGGATGACAGAGTATATGGGCTCCAGTGGGGAAGGTGGGAGGCTATGGGAGGGTGCCATTTGGGAAGTGGGTATATAGATGAATAAGATTGTTTGGGGTGTTCATATGATGTACATGCACAAAAAAATCAACAAATAAAGATATATTTGAGGAGGAAGCATAAAAATATACTTCATGTTAAATAGTAGAGGTGATAAACATTACCAGTAAAATCTACCTGATGACTTTATATCCATTCTCAAGTACTAGGGATCTGAGTGTAATCAGATACATAGTAATAGATTAGAGGCACCTGTGCAAACATCTAAGCGTTAGTAGCATAAAAATGTAGGAAACAGCATATTTTAAAATGAAATGGAGATCTTCTTTAAAGGGTAAAAACTCATTCAATTTTATGTCTTACAGGGTTTATACTGAGTTACATATTGTATAACTTTATTAATTCAACTGTGAGCCTAGAAGTTTACAGCCACCTTTGAAAGAGATGTATCTTTGCTCTGGAAACTGTTCTTGAGTATGTTAAAGCTGGAATGAAGTGCTTCTTCTAAGAAATAAAAAAAAGAGTACTAATTCTTAAAGTAATAGGATACTTTGATCTTAAGGTAAAATAGCTTATGTATAAAACTGTCTCTGGACACCGGGCACATGAAGAATGAATAGTTGAAACTTTATGTAATGGAACCTACCATAAACCCTAAGGGCAGAAGGAGCAGAAAACCAATTTGTTTCTTGACTCTCTTTTGACAGTTCCTCATCCCTAAGCTAAAGAAACACATAGACAGAATTAGAGGATAGCAATTATCAAGTGATATAATTAAGTAATTTAGAACATATTTACCTCTAGTAAATCATCTAGGAAGCTGCATGCTAAAATATCTTGAATTTTTATCTTCCTTTTAAAAAATATAATGAAGCACAATTACTTAATTTCATTTACAGAACAAGATCAATTTAATTTTTTAAGGCATTATTTTACAGAAGCAATATTTTAAAACTTCTAGCTATTAGGTTCCAAAGGCCTTTTAATATTCCATTACAAAAAGGAAATATTTTCTTAAAACTTTATATATCTACTTGTATACCCCAACTATGTAAAAATAAGCAATACACTGTTCCTAAAACCACACTACCAGAATCTGTATAAAGTTATGTCATTTTGTGAACAGAGATGAAATTACTAATTAAAAGAAAAAAAAAAAAACCCAAAAAACAGCTGGGACCAGCACATGACCTGCCTGAGACGTGACTTGTCTGAGAGGCTTCATGGCTTTGTGTTCTTACACAGACCAAAATAAATAAATAAATAAATAAATAAATAAATAAATAAATAAATAAATAAATGCAACAACAAGGAGACTTCTTGACAGGCTCTAGAATAGCAAGCAATATAGATGTGTGGTTAAAAGGAGATGGGGTGGGGAGTAATATATAGGAAGTTCGAATGCTACTTCCATAACTATGATTATATATATGCAGTCCAAGTCTCGGTTGCTTTATGCACAAATGTGGAAAATAACAGTACTTTCTTTGTGATATGATGATGAGAAAAGTGAAAGAATCCATGTAAAATGCTTAGCACAGTACTTGGCACATAAAAGTCAAAAAAGCTATCATTCTGTAACATTTCAAAGGGAAAGAAGTGTATGTGCCAGTATTTGGGAGTTTAATGGGTCATGGTGGACTCATAGCTGAACTGTCAAAGACAGGAGACTTGAGGATTTGGATCTGGGCCTTCTCTGTCTCTTCCTCAGCCACAGTTATATGTATTTAGGCATGGGCAGGTTAGAATACTTGACAATGCATACTGTTACAAAGCTTATTTACCAATATGACCCCCATATACAAACTTGTGAGAGAAATACTTATAGTTAAGTGACTCTCATATTGCAAAATAAATTTTTTTTCATAAAAAAAGAGAACAGGGCTCAGTAGTTAATAGCACTGGCTATTTTTTGCAGAGGACTGGCTCCCAGCACCCACATTAACAGTCATCTGTAACTCCAGTTCTAGGGAATTCAATGCACTCTTCTGGCCTCCATGGGCATGGCACGCACAGCTGCACTTACATACAGGCAAAACACTCAGACACATTAAAAGAGAACAATTCTCCAATAAGTCACATATCACAGACAGCAAACTATGTGATTGTAAGTGGCTTTTTATAACTGGAAGAAGCCATAGTGACTGATTTTACCCAGGTCATATTTCTTTGAGGATAAGAAAATGCTAAATGGGTTAGGTAACATCCTACCATCACATAGCTGATTATAGTCAGTGTGAGAAAATCCCAAAAGATCTTCATATAAACCCAAACCAAAGCACCGCTGCTATCTTCTATGTCTTTCTACTCTTCTGAGATTTTCCAGATACTGACATTAGGAAAACACAAGAGAATTTTCAAGATTTCTCTAGTAAGCTGATTATAGTCAGTGTGAGAAAATCCCAAAAGATCTTCATATAAACCCAAACCAAAGCACTGCTGCTACCTTCTATGTCTTTCTACTCTTTTGAGATTTTCCAGGTACTGACATTAAGAAAACACGAGAATTTTCAAGATTTCTCTAGTATTGAGATCTGTATGTAACAATATTCTCATAATACCTAAATTAGATTTTTTTGTTTTGTTTTACCTGTTCTTAGAGGGTCCAAAAAGAAGAAGAACTTCCTAACTGCTGTACAAACATAGAAGGAGTAAAAGGATTCTTCCAACCCATCTAGTTGTGGCAAAGTAGGAATAAGTTCCAGTATATAGTTTTCTAAATCCTGGAAACAAAACACAATTTTGGTGTTAAATATCCAAGCTTCATTTTTTTTTCACATTTTATTTATTATTTTTACTTTTTTTAGTGTATAGGTATTATGCCCACATGTAGGTAGGTGCACCCATGGCATGCAGTGCCCGAGTATGTCAGAAAAGGGCATTGGAGTCCCCTGGAACTGGAGTTACAAGACAGTTGTTATCCACCATGTGGGTGCCGCG